ACGTGCGAGCCTCCACGAAGTCGACTCTGCACGCTGTCACCCTGCCCCTGGCCAGTTTTTTTTCGCCACCTGAAGGTCGGCACTCCCTGCCCACGCCCGAAGGCGCAGGTGGGCGGCGCGCGCCGACAGGGGCGCCTGAAGGTCGGCACCCCCTGCCCACGCCTGAAAACGCGGGTGAGCAGTGCGTGCCGACAGGAGAGCCGCGCCCATTCACTGCGTCAGCTCCTGGAACTCGCCTATCTTCTCGGAGCCCGCCACGACTTTGCGGACGTTTGGGTTGCGAGGCGGGGCCCCGCGTTTGATCTCCACCCCAAGCTTGAGCGCGATCGCTGCCATGATCTCGTTCGTGACCGCGCGCAGCTCTGGGATGACCATGAGCTCGATCTTGAAACGGTCTGTGTCTCCCCGCGCCTTCTGCCGATGCGCCTTCTTCTGGTAGCACGTCAGGGCGCGACCGCGAATCACCTCGAGGTCTGCCGCGCCGCTGTGGCACGCGGCCAGCGTCGCTTGTTTCTCTTTGGACACCGACGCGTCGTTTTTTACGTGCGCCACGAGCTGGACCCACGCGCGAACGTGGGCTGGAATCAAAGCCGCGATCTCCCCTGAGTTCGACGCCTGCTATTTCTCGTCGTCGCACTGCTTCGTCCCCATCTTGATCGGCTCCAGGCACGGGCGCTGCTCCATCACGATCGCCACCTGCCCGAGAGCCCCCTGCATGCGCCTGTTGGACCCGTCCAGGCCCACTACGCACTTGGCCGCGTTGACTGCCAGGTCTTTGATGTCCTGATCCAAGCCCGCCGAGCCGACCGCCCTCTGCTTCTGCGCGCGCCCCTCCGAGCCCGCCGAGGCCGCCCCGACCAGCTTGTCCATATTCGAGAAGGTTCTGAAGGCTCACGAAGGCGCCGTCAGGAAAGTGCTCACGTATATGTTCGCGAAGTGCAGAGAGACTCGCGAAAGCCGATGATGTACACGAAAAAGGGCACAGACGTGAGAAGGGCGCTTGAAGAACTGTCAAGCCCGAAATCGCTGAGCCGCCTCTATCTGGGCAACTCGGTGGATCTATCCGACCTCGAGCGTCTTGATGCCGACGGACCGTATCCATGCTCCAGAAACACCGATCGCACCTCGAACATTGATTGCATACAGCTGCTTGCCGCCACCGAACTCGTAAATTGTGATGATGAATCTAATGCGCTTTGAGTTGCCGTAATGTATGGCACGTATACGTACACCTGCACCGCGTCTCTTCCAGGAGATCACACACGTACGTCCCCGGGCCGTTCACGAGACTGAGCTGCGGCTCAGGAACCGACCCGCGTCGCCGCAGAAGAGCCCGAGGAGGAATGAAGATACGACTGGCAGACTCGAACAAGCTGAACCACCCCCGTCCAGCCAGAACTTCCCGAACACGAGGTTTCTCCCGACTCAGTTCCGAAAGCTCTTTCCCCCGAAGCTTAAACCGTGGATTCGCGTGATGGGTGGGCTTGCCCCTAGAATTGATCTGTTTGCGCCCGCCCCCGAAACGCCCAGTAAGAGCAGCCAGGAGAGCGACGTCATCCAGAGGGCGTTGAGCGATTTTCTGTATCCAAGCCAATCTCCGATAGCACAGCACATTCTCGGCCGCGGGGATCGCCAGGATCGAGCGCACCTGTTCGTTTGACATGGTACGGCAACGAGCAAGAGTCCTCTGGTCGTCGTGCTCCTTGGCACCGGCACCGCCCATCAGCAGTACCCGACCATGGGTCTGCACAAAACGGTCAACCTGATCGTGCAACTGCTGGGTGGGAAGCCATGCCTCCCCGCCTGAAAAGGTATGAATTATATACCAGGCCCAGGAATACAGGACGTTTGATTTACATCGGTATGCCTTTCTGCCCCCAGAAGTGCACCATAGCGGCCCACCCGTTCCTCGCCACCTTCTGTCTCTGCCCATTCTCATGATGCCCCCGCCCGTCCGTCTGATGATAAGCTCCTAAGTGTCGCACTACAAGTTTAGCTTCCCCCGGAACCTTAAGCTGCCGATAGAAAGCCTTCATCTCGGTCGGAGCCCCCTTCCCGCACTGCCTGAACATCAACTCCTTTTTTGTCGGAGTTCTGACGGAGGTTCAGCGGATCGGCCACAAACTTCTCCAGTGCGCCATCCCAGGACTCGATTTTCCGCGCGGCCTCAAGGGCCCCGCCGGCTAAACCAGAACGCTCTAAATCATCGGCAGACGCGCCGTATGAAACATCAACTTCAGTTCGGGAAACGGGTTCCTTGACCGTGAAAAAAAGACCGCTCTTGCTCAGCGCGGGTCTGGGCGACCCACTCGCCGACGGCAGGATCGAAAACCTGCAAGAAACGATCTGGCGCAGACTGATCTCCCTGCAGATCCTAACATCCCAAAGCAAACAGGCTCCACTCCCCCGAGTCAGTCTGCACCAGTGTCATGGCATGCCGGTGTCGGCCCACCACAAGCTCCGCATCTGCAACATTTAAAGAGCGGAAGATGGTGGAGTCAAGCGCAGCATGCGAAACCGAGGCAAAGGCGTTAGCCTGGTCGTAGAAGGCCGTGAACCACCCTAGACTCTGCTCTGACAACTGCCAGCGCACAAGCTTGCGTTGCAAGATCAGCTGCTCGCGACGGCGGCCTTCCCGAAAACCTACACTGCGGTGGGTCGAGTAGCCTGCCCCACGCTTCCAGACGGCCCCAACGAAGGATTTACCCACGGGGTCCAGAAGGTGAATTAGACGCTCGCCTTTACATTATATCTTACCGTTGTGTTTACCGATGCGACAGCCCTGGCTGACATTCCAGAGGTTGGGAATCGATCCCGCCTCTCGGATCGCCATCAAAAGCAACCTGAACAAAGTGACGAAAGCCCCAAGACGTTCATTCGGGCCCTCCTCTAAAGAAATAGGCGCCGCTAAAGCTAGAATCCAGAGCTCGCGGGGGGGGGGGGGGGGGCAAGCCAATCCGGCACCGCGCGACAGGCTTTACTGTCCAGGGGCCTCCGGACGAGACCTGTCTGCATCGCACGTTTGACGAGCCTGAGAAGTAACCCGGGGGAGGGGGACGAGGGCAAAAGAAGAAGTGGGAGCCGACGGGGTTTGCTTTTCAGGCTTGTCCGCGCGGCCGCTGCAAAGGTCGGCGCATTGGCGATGGCGCTGCACAAGGTCGCGTGAGAACAGGCGCGCCCACTCCTCGACGGGGTGAGCGCCCGAACCAGTGCCTCTACACAACGCGACAGCCTCCGTGCCCCCTGCAGGGCCAGGGTGACTCACGTGCAGATCCCAGTCACGAATATTCGGGGGGACGGCGGTGAAAGCATTATATCGCCTACGCTTGGGTCCGAGACGAGTGCCAGCTATCAACCTACTGAGCTGCCACGCCAATCGGCCGTCTCGGGCCTCCATGGCCTGAACGAGTTCCCTCGCCCAACCCTCCCGCCGCCGCCTCGCACCCCGACGTTTGAGTTTCCGAATGCGGAGCCCTAGTTTCTTACAGACCCAGCCTGAAGCGGCACGGGCGTCACCCTCAGGAGTCCCAGAAAGGAGCACGCGCAACTTGCGATATTCCAGCCGTGCCTTGCCAGTGTCCTCAGGATCTGCCGCCATCGTATTCGCAGGGGGTGCTCGGAAGATTTCCTCGCCAGCGGTTCTGAGGGTGTCATTGAGAAGGTGCCAGCTGCCGTCCACGTCTTTCTGCTCGAACGCCGTCTGCATCGTCCAGGTGCTGGGTGAACCTGTGGTACACGTCGTCCTCGGAGCGCCTGGCCTTCAGCATCTTCTCGAAGTCCCAACGCATGCGCTGCGGCTCGTCGCTGTGCCAGCTCTGCAAGTTCCCGTCCACGACCAGGGGCGCGTGGTCCACGTTCGCGGGCGCCTCGTCGGCCAGCTGCAACTTGTAGCCCGTGCGCCGCCACACCTGACACTTAGTCACCAAGCCCAATGCACCCTGCGGTACGGCAATACAGTCAATCCGTGTGCGGCTGGTGCCTTTGAAGAAAGTGGGTCCACAGCCATCCTCGAACTTGGTGTTCACAAGAGCCAGGCCGTGGCGATTTAAGAAGTACCTGTGCTGCGTACCATTGAAGTCCTCCTGCTCGGCGCCGTAGTGCCCAGCAGCGTCACGATCGTTATAGAAGTGCCACTCTGAGCTGAAGCGTTCCTTGCCCACATGGAAATTGCCATCCATCGGGAGCATGGGAATACAACGAGCTGGCAGTTCACTTATCACCGTATCAATCCATGAAACAAGTTTGAGTAACATTTTGCGTTCACTCTCGTCCTTCGGCAGGAGAAACGAAAAGACTGTGATGAAACATAAGTCAAAATGACCGCGCCAACGAAAACGTAGTGCCCCTCCTCGTCCTTGAAGCGCCTCAGGTGGACGCCATGAACGCACAAAGTGAGCACGCCCGAGAAGCTTCTGACTGACAGCGATCATGCAGCCAGTGGAGATGTTGGTGCCTTGAGCAGGATCCTGGCGCCTGCGTCGGCGAGCCGTCCTCTTGTTAGCAGAAGTCGGCCACTGGAACACGTCGAAGCCCTTCATAGAGACCCTTAGCTCCTGCAGGGAGCCGTCGTACGACGCCTTGGCCTGAGACTGGCCTGTGCCCGTCAGGCTGATGACGTGTGCGCTCTCCATGGCTTCCAGGATCTCATTCAGTCCTCTCTTGAGCGGGAGAGCCTGCGGGTTGTACTGCACAAGCCGCAGACGATGCTGAGGAGCAGCAGTGGCCATGATGGTAAGAAGACTGGGCGCCAGCAGGGCCCACAACCTGCGTCGGGGCTCTCTCCTGCATGCCGCCTCGCACGCCACGTGAAAAGTTCGGATCCCCCCCCTCCTGATCATGTCGGGTTTGGGCCGAGGAGGCTATGATGATGATGATGATGATGATGATGATGATGATGATGATGATGATGATGATGATGATGATGATGATGATGATGAAGAGGAGGACGACGAAGACGACGACGACGACGAAGACGACGACGAAGACGACCGGGTTGTCGCCTCGCAGACTGCCCGCGCGACGTGCTCGAAGACGGGCCGGGGCACCGAGCCAGTACAGCCGGCGTCCAGCTGGCGGAAGCCTTGCACAAGCCGCTCCTTGGCGGGGCCCGCGTCGAGGACCACGGGTCGGGTGTTGCTAGAAGCTGCCCTGGTCCAGCCCTGAAACCCTGGCGTCCCACACGGATTGATGCGGTCGAAAAACGGCGCGATGAGGCCTGGGGCTCTGAACGTGATTTGTCGGGATGTTGCAACTGTTCGCTTCGTAGAATCTCGGGAAAAGCGCCACCAGCTTTTCGAGCCATTCGGAACCCCTGGGGCCCTCTGGGCCTCGTGAGGGATGCTCTGGAGGATTCTGGGCCTGCCTGGGACTCACGGAGACACTGTGGGCCAAGGACGCCGTTGGCAACGCCTGAATGGAGCCCCGGACTCGCTCGCGGGTGGGGCCCGCGTCGAGGAGCGCGGAGTCCCTCGTGGGCAGTTCCTGGGCGGGCGCGGGCTGGCCCCTACGCCTCCGGCGTCTTGGCAAAATCAGCCTCGGCGGCCAACCCCCCGACCTCCAACGTTTTTGATCGTCGCCCTCTGCCACTGGGGGCCCATCTTCGGGGCCTGGGGCCGCGACAGAGACAGCGACAGTGGTTTCCGGGGAGCCCGCCGAAGAGGCACAAGCGGCGGCGCCGCGGGGCCGCGGTGCAGAGAGAGCGAGAAAGCAGGCCGGTGCACGGACACATAAAGATATGGTACACAGGAAGCAGAGCAAGAGAGTGACGCCCCCACGCTGCAATGGCGGGCTGTCGAGGACCGAGCCAGAGCCAGGCGAAGGACCCAACCAAACGCCACGAAACGCAGGCAACGGCACAGACACAGCGCAGCAGCAAACGAGAGGCACGCAGGAGAGGGCGTAAAGCAGCAGCAACCGAGAACAGCAGGGAGCAGACACAGGGGCACAAAGGGAGCGACGAAGGCAAGAACGATGGCTCCAACAAAGCAAGCAGCTCAGAGGACAACATCAGGAGGAACATGGCACCCGAGATCTCATTGCGAGCATCTGTCCAGCCACCAGAAGATGCGCGCGGGCATCTCATTCAGCGTCGCCAGATCGACGGCCGCGCCACAGACGATCAGAGGAAACAGAAGAGGAAAGAAAAGAGAAGCATGGATCAACAGGCACCTCTCAGCCACAATTTCTTCGCCTGGCAGCCTGATTTTTGGGGGCGACGCCTGCGGTGTAACCGAATGCGGGCTCTGAAAAGGTCAGCCGGGGGCTGAGCTGAACCCTCCCAGAAGCAAGCCTGGTGGTTGGCACAAGTCAACCTCCGATTCTGGCGCGGCGGCGGGGGCGCGAGAACCAAACACTGGAACCAGGACTTTTCGCTACAACACTGAGCGAGGCAAGGGGCGAGAGCTAGTTTCAGGATCTACTGCATGATGCTCCAGAGAATCTCGGGCGCCTTCCACACTGCAGTTCCATCAGCATCTGACAAGACCACGATGAAAACGACTGCTGGTACACGCCTCGAGCCAAAAATCCGCCGACCCCCCTGCGGGGCCATCAGGCTGCGAGGCTTAGGTTTGCTGCTCCCTGCGCCAGTTCCAGTTTCCAGTTTCCAATGTTGCAATCTTGCGTTCTGTTTCTTACTGTAAACTGTTACTGTCCGCGCGAGGGGAGGGAACCGAACAGGACCCTGGCTAGCGTTCCCGAATGACGTGCTCTGAATTTCGGAAGGGGCCGTGGGGCACGTAAACATGTACGAAATTCGCGCTCCCGACGCAATGGTCCTTCGTAAATTACGCGGTGCTCGTGCCCCCGAGGCCAAGATCCCTCGTAAATTATGCTGTGCTCGCGTCCCCGAAGCAACGATCACATATAACATACGCCGTATTCGCGTTCCTGAAGCCACGATCTCCGTACACATTTTCGCCTCTGGGGCCACGCTCCCCCGTAAATTGCGCAACGATCGTGCCCCCGAGACTACGATCCTTCGCAAATTGCGTCGCCTTCGCGCCCCACGACCTTGCGTAAATTGCACCACATTCGCGCCCCTGGGGCCACGAACCCGTGAACATTACCCCACGCTCGCGCCCCCGAAGCCACGACCCCTTGTAAATCGCACACAGTTCGCGCCCACGAAGCCACGATCTCCTACATGACGCCCCAAGAAGCGCCCAAAACGTGCCCAAGAGGCTTCCGCAAAACTCCAAAGATACCCCACGAGGCCCCAACAGGCCCCCAATAGGCGCCCAAACCGCCTCCAAGAGGCCCCCGAGAAGCTGCCCACGACACCCCAGCACATATACAAGAGGCCTCAGAGTTTGAAGGGGGTTGGGAGGCCCAGCCAGATGCTTCGCCTAAGGCGAAGCCCATATCCAACTCGGATGTACCGTAGTAGCGATGGTCCCAAGAGCAGGAGTGAGTCGAGGGAGCGACGGGCCACGTCAAGCGATTAGGTATTCGGCCTCGGAGACGAATAGTGTGCCTCGCGGTGAGGCGCAATCATATCTTGGCAGCCGGCCGCTTGAGAACAAACGGCGGCGGACGAACGCTCGCTGCCTCTCGCCTTTGCCCAGCCTCCTTTAGAATCGGGGGCGGGGAGACGAAACGTGAATCCGCCGCCAGTTATACAGCAAAACGCTGTACTGAGTGAGGTAAGCAGCAGCAGGCGGGCTCAACAAAGGCAGGTTGGCCCGCATGCAAGTTGCCTTGCAAGCAAGTTACCTCGCAGGTAACTACTCCTCAGGCGGTTCAGATGATCTCGTTTGGCCAGTCCTGTAGAGAGTGTGTCGTTTTAGGTCATGTTTGGAAGATCGCGTGCCTCCCATGAATTGTAGGAGCATGTCTCTGTCGATGCCCCCCTTGGTGTGGCCATCCGCAGACATATCGCGAGTGTCACAGCACTGCGCACAATGCACGATACCTCGCTCCATCATTGTTCGTATCCGACTGGTTTGTCCCGAACGTGTAAAATCAGTCGGCTTTTGTTTCCGGTCTTTGCTTGACGAGGACTTGAGGACATATGCTGCATCGATGGCTCAAGTGACCCTAATGCTCAGGTTGCTCATCTCAACTATATCCTCCAATCGGGTGGGTGCCAGCGGACCAGCGTGGAGTTCGTGCTGAATGACGATCACGGGGTAGCAGTCCTTCAAGGTGCGGGCTGCTGCAAGTGTTTCCGCTGAGTAGCCCGAGCGGACCTGCAAGCGATGAGACTTGCAGTGCGCGTCGACAAGATGGGCGACGAGCTTACCTACATGCGCCTGACCACTCCGCAGCAGGTTTGCCCCGCGAATGCCGTGGCTTTTGAACTCGTCAACGGCGTCTCCACTCAGACGCCGGTAGCCGGAGTCGCTGTGCAGGTCGACCTCGCCCGTTGGAGTCATCACTTGATAGAAGATCATCGCAGGGCAGGCCTGCAACTTCCTGGCAACCACGCTCAGTCATCGCACTCGCATGTTGGTCGGTTCTGGGACGCGCCGTAGTGATGCAACATATGCCATCAACCGCACCTGCGTGATAAGGGCGTAAGCCAAAGCGCCTCTGAGGCTGACAAACATGTCGGTAACCATCGTTGATGCCATGCCCTCAGCGTCTGCGCCCCTTGGTTCATGCTGCTGGATGGGACGGAGCTGTTTTATAGTTTCGTCTTGGCCAAGTGTAGCATTGTCGTATTCGTCCTTCATGCACCTCACAGCGCAGATGATATACGCGTGTTTGCTGAAGCTACATTTCCGATAGCGTCCTCAGTACTGGCCATGTTCATGTCATCAAAATGCGTGGCTGCAAAGAGGTTAGAACTTGTCTCGGACTCTTCGTCGTGGGACGTGGGATGAAGACCGAGCCTCCTGTGGTGAAACTGCGCTACGGCGAGAATGCTATTGGTGCATTCTTGGCGCCAATACCTGGTTCGAGGCGCTGCAACAATGTCTCGACTCATCGCAGTGCTCGACTCCTGGGAGAGATCTGAACGCAGATGCTGACCCAGGTGGCAACATACAGCACGCCGCACGTGCCTTTCTCAGCAGTTGCTTCGGCAAGTCCCTGATAGGTGAGTCCCTTCAGGAAGTCCATGTTGATGTCGATGGAAGCAATGATCCACTGCTTCCTGCACGCCGCCGCGTTGGCGAGTAGTCGCTGACTTGACCCGCGCCGTTCCTGAGAGCGTCTCCGCGTCGAAGGCTTCGCGGTCCCTGAATACCCCGAAGTACCGGGCGCACTCTAATGCCGCGTTCCATCTCGCCCTTTTCTTTCTTGACGAACTTCATTGATATGCGCATCTCAAAATCATGATGTTTGACGCCGCGGAGAGATCTGGTAAGTTGAAGCACTTGTCGTCAAACCGTGTCTTGAGTTCAGTATAGAGGGCCTTCGGTACCTTGACTGGATTCGCCTGGATATCAGCCCTCGTGAGAAGGTCGTCCTCCTGAACGACTGCAGCTCGTTCAGCTGCAGCGGTCACATATACTCGCATAGTGGTCACGCGGTCGAAATCCAATATTATGCATGATATGTTTCCGTTGTGTTTATGTCCTGTGGGTTACCCCACGTAGGCAGGTGCGCCCGCTATTCTTCAGTTGCTGTGACCAGCGCGCTCTTGTCAGTGAACATCTGTGCGGGTGCAGTATAGAGCTCGCCTATTGGAATCGCCTCTCATAGTTCCCTTTCGTCTTGTAACTCTGTGCGCCGCACTCCCATAATGTGTGCCTCGAGGTCCTCCTCTGAGTCCTCATGCATGGTGGGAAGCCGTCCGTCTTCCGATTTCTGGGGCGTCCCTGGCGTCGATGCCTTGTATTGGCGCGTGGGCCAGTTCTTCGAACTTCGTCATGTCTCGGTCGAAGCCCGGTTCAGGCTTGGTGGACTTCAGGCACTGGCTGACCCATGAATGTGCTCAGGGCAACGCCTTCAGCTTCGTAGCAGCGGCGGCCTGGATTCACGTCCGTCATGGCGCACCAACGCACAACTGTCAGCATGCGTCACCGGAGGTAACAGATGAATACTCCTTGCCATCCTGACAGAAACTACGCTGTCAATGTGAAAGAAAATCCTGACAAGGTACTGAGGAGCTAAGTGTACCTTCGGAGATAGTCGGCTCGCACTCGTCATCTGGACTACTCCCTTTTTGGTCGGAAGATATCCGCATGTCATTGCAGGTCGCCCAGCAGGTAGACTGGCTATAAATGCCAACACAGTCCGCGATGCTGTGTTGCCCGGGCCAATCCCTCGAGCGATCAAATCTCCAATGCCTAGTGAATGTCGTGCGTCACCGCGCTGGGCTTGTACATCGTGGTTCCCCACTCCCATGATGACCTGATCCCTGTCGGAATCATTCCGGTCGACCAGGAAGTGTCCGTTCCAGCCACCCCAGTCGTCTTTCGTAGTAGCGGGACGATGATCGTCATCCAGATCTCCTTCGTAATCGTAATGCTGACTGGCGATTGTAGTCTTGGTCCGTAGTGCACGGCTCCGCGCGGCTCGCCTTCGCTACTGCAGTGGCTTGTGTGATCGCCTCAATGCCTACCCGGCGAATAGTCTGTTCTCGATCATGGTCGGATGCGTCCGTCTGCTGCTCGTGGCCCAGAACAGGCAAGTCGGGTAGCATGGCTGGTTGTCGGCCGAGCAGCGCGTTGCATGGAGATACCTCCCTGTAGAAGTTGAACGCATTGGCGGCAAACGAAGCTTCATGAAGAAGGCGGGTGAACACAATAAGTATGTCTAACCTGCACAGCCTGTTGAGTTCAGCCTCCACAGCGCGAAGTAGGTGTCGTTGTATACCGCTTCTGGCTTCGATGGTCGTAGCGCATTGTCAACGCGCACGTGTCCTCAGCTCAGCGCCTTTTGCCATAAGGACAACCTTTGCCGTGTCGTTGTTGAGTGCGCCTTCCCCGTCAGAGTAAAGTACTTTGGCAGGTCCTATTTTCATCCAGCACTGATGATGCGCGTCTAAGATGCTGGTCATGGTTTTGTCTGGTATATCGAGTCCAGTGCCGCATCGAATGCAGCAATCGGTTCTATGAAATAGATTGTGCTCCTGTTTGTAGAACACCAGATCGCATTCGACTTCATCATTAAACTTGCCATGTAGTGCAGTTGACGGCATGACAGCGTGTCCAAGATTTTCCCACGCCCTGCACTTCCGGCATGTGTCACAGACGCCTTTTAATCAAGTTTAGCCTTACGCTGTCCAGACCAGCCTTGGTTAAGACGATTCTCATCTTAGGCTCCTTGGTGTGAACCACCGCAGGTGTAGTTCTCGTCATTCGCGCGCTGCCACGCTTGGGCCCAGGCTGCGCAAGTTCTGCAGACTAATCTGCACGTCGAACCATGAACAGTCTGAAAGCCTTGGACGAGCAGCAGGGTCACCCGCAGGGTGGTGGTGGAGGTGGACCCCCTCCTGTCGCCCACGTCTGGCCACTATTTGTGGTAGTCGTCCGTGGTCGTCCGAGCTGCCTGCTCCGCTCGAAGCAGGTTGCCCCGCAGTCGGTTCAGCAACATATCTGCCCACAGTGATGTCGCGGCTGCTGGCGCCTGCTGTCGGCCCAGTTCTGGAGCCAGGTCTCGGAGTTCGTGGCCGCGCAACTTGTTTGGCGGCTGGTGCCTCGGAGCAGCTGCCGCCGCAGGTTGTGGTGCGTCGGAAACAGCTGCCGGTTCGGCAGGGGCTGGATGCCCCTGTCAGTGGCTGCCAGGCAACTTCCACGGTTTGGCAAACTTGCATTTGCCAGGCGTAAGTAAGTGACCGGGCCTAGCCTGACCGTAGTTCTTTTTGCAGCTTCGGCATTCTCAATAGTAATCCTCTTTGTCGTACCACCTCCAGTGCTTGGGGTCCCTGTCGTGCGATGGAGAGTGCATGTTGACGTTGTCTGCGCACGCTGGACATCCCCATCCTCCTGATGGGGGCCCCATGATCGACCCGTCAGGAGGTCGAAAGAGAGTTGGATCATCCAACTCGAATCTGCGTGTGTTCGTAACAAGAACAGATGACCCATGAGGATGACCTTGAAAATCATCACGGTTTACTGAGAACATGTCGTGTGCAATTTGAACTGCTTCAACGACTAGGGATTGCATCTTCGGAGTGTACTGGGCTGCCCTGGCCAGTTCCCTGCTGCAAGCTGAGGCATGCTGATGATGGCCCGTGCACCGTCTGCTCCCGAAGGGTGCCAGCAACAGGTGGTGGTTGGCGATTCTCACTGTAGGTTTTCGCATCAATACACCATGGGAGTCACGAAGACTCGTGGTGCACTGGTCCATCTTGACTTTGCGAGTACCCTCGCGTTTGGCCAATGTCGTCTACGGTGGTATTTCATCCACCCACGTGCCCACTGGTTGTTCTCGCAGGTAGAACCGTCGGAGGTCGTCTTGGCGCACGGCAACCTTTCCACACAATTTGATGTTTGGAAGTCAACGTAAGAACGTTTGTCGAGGTTTCCTCCTAAGGACAAACCTCGGCTGAAGGCGAACTGCGGTATTCCCCCATTACCTCCACGCAGTTCCAGCGCGTCTACCTTGCTGTTTCGTCCGTAACACAGGGTTGGGATTATGGAAAACACATCTGCATGTGTATCCGCAGGTAACCCCGGAGATAGTGCAATGAAGGCTTCTTCGTCTTCATCGCTGTCGGAGTCCAAGGGGGCGTCGGTGTAGTGCGCTCCATGCCCGAGGCCCTTGAGGTCCTCGCCGCAGTCGTCGCTGCCGTCTTCGACCTCCTTAAGTATCTTGCGTGATTTGATGCCAGCCTATTTGTCAGCTTTCTGCTTTCTTTCTGCGTTCTCCGGGCATCGGTAGGTAGCGCTGTCTGTTGTTAGTCGTTGTCGGGTGAAGTAAGTGTCGGAAATCCGCAAATAGGGGGCAGCGCGCGGCCACGCTCAATCGAGGGGGTGGAAGACGATCGTCATCGACAGTCGTAACTCGCCTTGGGCGCGGTCGCTGCCCCTTGTTTCCGAGTAGGGCTGGTGCCGGAGGCTCCCAGCACAGTCGAGCACGAATGTTCGTTGCACCGCTTGGCAACGGCGCGTTGTAATTGTACCCAGCGGGCTACTCCTGAACCTTGATGTCTTCTGCGATAGTATTGTCGTCGAGGTCCATCGTCACCCGGCGTGCCGCACGGCCCCAATGAGGGCCATTCTAGTGAGACTGGACGTATCTCCGAACTCCTTTGTCAACTCGAGTGTGCACGCTGAGGCGCACAGCACTTGTAGGATTTCTCTGTGTGTCGTAATGATCTATTTGGCCACTCAGTCTCGCAGTCATGATAGCGATCGTTTTGTTTCGCCATTCCGCCCTCTGGGCACCATGGCCGCGCCAGTCTAACTCATGCTCTGTTTGTTCAGCAGGTTCCCCCGCGACTTGGCGCATGAATCCGCAGATTGACGGGAATGCGCGCGTGAGTGGTCGCCACCTGTAAGTGCGAACCGCTCGGTAGACGACTCGAACGATCGAACTTCAGACCAAAGTGGCAGCGGCGCAATCGCATGACTTGCATGCCTAAGTCTTCAATGGTATCACGCACGGGTCCCATTCTCCAGAAGTAACCTGGAGGTCCCATAATCACAATAGACATGCGTAAAACCCGAACTTTGACCATAAGATTTGGAATACGTTGGCAATGTGGCCCCGCCCGCTTCCAGGCAGTTGCGCATGCCAGTCGGCGGGCTTTGCCACCCGCAGCAGTTGCTAATCCCCCGAGAGTAAGCCACCTCAGCACTGTGTACCACTAGAGGTCATAACCTCTGCGTGTGTGATGCGGTCACACATGTATCCTCGAGCTCGGAGTTCAGCGCAAGCAGTTAGTATATCCTCAATGACAAGGGCACGAAAGTGATATTCATGAGATGAGCGATATTTTTCTGCGGCGGCCGCGCAGCCGGGCCCGCCGCTGCCCCTGGCGCGCGCGGCCGGCGCCGGGGAAAAGCATGCAAATGCACCCGCGCCTGATGACAGCACCTCAGTGAACGGCCCGTCTAGGCAAGCGCGAGTGGCCGCGGCGCGCGCCTGCCCCCGCCACTCGTTTTCAAGAGACGTCATCGGCAGTGTCGCTCGATGCCGCGGGTTGCCCCGCAGTGGCAGGTGGCCCTGCGTGGATGTTGGGTGGCGCCCACTTGCTGCCCTCCTCGTAGATGGCCTGATAGACTTTCGCCTGTAGGTTCCTCACAGCGAAGTCCTGATCGGCGGGCGTGGGTTTGCCACTGCACAGCGTGTTCCTGCGCCACCGCGTCTTGAGGGCGTAGTCCACCATGGATTGGATCGCGTATGAAAGCGTCTCCTCATTGATGGAGTGGCCGATGCCCCTGGTGTCTTGGGACATCATAAATGCGCGGGCGTCGCTAGGGGCAGGTGGCCCCACGCTACTTGAAGCAGGGTTGCCCCGCGATCGGCTCCATGTCCGCGGCCTCCTTGATGAGCACGGGCGTCTCCTCGCACTGAGGGTTGGCCGTGATGGTGAAAGCTGTCGCAACATCGGCTTCCGGTGCTACCCCGGACTCGTCAACCTTGATAGCCGGGTGTCCTGATGGCGTCTTTATCAGATCCAACACTTTGGCACCCTTCCCAACTTAAGGAGGAGCCAGTACATGTCTGCACCTGGGAGGGCCATATTTCCATTGCCCTTTTTCGAGGATCAGGATGGCCCGCGTGTTCGCCGTGCTCCTCAGCCCCAGGATCGCGGGCATTTTCTCGCCAGACCCCTCTGCCACATTGGCTGAGTATGTGTTTGGCCTGGCGATCGCGGGTGCCCCCGCGGAGTCGCATTTGTACTTGCGAGCGGTTTTGCAACGCACTGGCGTCTCGCGACCGGCGGCTCCGTTGCCCACTCCGCTCGCGCACAATCTTCTGCAGGTCCAGATTCTTGATGTCGTGACCATGCGAGCGTGAAACTCGCTCGAATGTCTGCGCAGTTTTCAAACCAATGATGTTTATGTTGCCACCGACGTCCAGCAATATACACAGCATTCCATAAATCATGGTTCCACTGTTCGCCGCTAGGGCAAACTCATGTCGTTCACCGAGTATGCCCGACACAGCGGACAACGTTGTGCCGCGCGTGCCCCATACGGCGCCATTGGTCCAGCACCCGCTGTTCCCTCGTCATAAAGACGTTCGTGTACTCCCTGGCCTCCTCCTTTTTGATAAAATACGGTTGGGAAATCCATTCAGAAGGGTATTCATCATATCGCAAGGGGCACTGCTGCGCAAGTGGCATCTGATCAAAAAAGTGCCCTCTTCGGAACGCGCAGCGCTCTAGCCATCCGCGTTGACCATCAGCACCGCGTGCAGCAGGTCGCGCTCAAATATGGCGCTGGCGCCGCTGCGCGCACTCACTGGGCTCTCAGTTCTGCGCGAGCGTAGCGGGTTCCCCCGCGCTCTGCCACATGGCGCAGTGGATCTCTCCATGCGTTTCAGCCACGCATCATTAGCAGGTAAACCCGCAGGCGTCGTTGCAGCAGGTGCCCCTGCAATGGCCGCTGACTCGGCTACCGGCGGCATCTGCGCGTCTGCTGTTGGCGTCGTTGTTGTTGTTGTTGGATTTGGCCACGCGTATGGAGGTGCAACAGGCTGCCCTCATAAGCAGCAGGTGTCCCTGCAGTGGCCGTAGAGCCTGTCATCATGGCTGTGATACGGTTCAGTTCTTCACGAAGGTGTCTGAATTCATTTGCCCCGCGGAGTATTTCTTCATGTCGATCCGCTGCATTATGCTCCCCGGCAAGGGCGTAATGCAACTCAGCTGCAATGAGGCCTACACCTCTGCAGATCGCGCGTGGCGCCTCGCTCGGGGCACCTTCCAGCAGTCGTTCCACGTGTGCGAGCGCTACGCGGCCCCAGCACTGCGCATGGGAGATATGGCCACATTGGAGCCTCCACACCTTACCGTGGCATGCGAACTCTTCGGGGCATATGGTACACTTCGTGAAATCATCGTCACTGATGATCGGCGGCGTTACCGACGGCCTGATGCGCGTTTGCCGCTCAAGTGTGAGTTCCCCCATCTCGTAGCGGCTAGGCGGAACTGCAGGTGCCAGCACTGGTCCCATAGCAAGAATTGCTGAAATACCCATAGCGGGTTGCCCCGCAGCTGGAGGAACAGCGGGCGCCCCCGCACGATTCATCACGCGGCGTGCCTGCCGCGCCAGGTTACGCTGCTGGCGAGCAAATTGCATTGAGAGATTGGCCTGCTGCGCCTCATGGGTGGCCAATATTTCGGGACGCAGCTCTCCCATTGATGCATGTACAACCAACTCTGGACCGCGTGGGTTCACGTCTTGGTCCACGGGGGCTGCCAGGTACCCAGTGGGGCACCTGGCCAGGGATACCAGCCTCGAATCCCGCCCCCCGTGTGAGCTGGGACCTATAGAAATCGTCTGCTGTCGCCCTGGCGCACGGGTTCTTGGGTTGGCTACCGACCCGAGGGGCCCCCGTCGTCTGTGCATAATAATCAGGGAACATGGCCGAATCCATTTCGTGGTGCCAGTGGCCTCTCTGCAGCAGTCGGATCACAAGTCGGGTGGCTAGAGATCGCCGGTCTGCATCCATGCCTGTTTTGATGGTTCAGCGACGGATAAGCATCAGGCATATACTCAGAAGGTGGAGTCCAATTTGCATTTGGCAGGTCTATTCCATCCCGTCTCGTGCTCTCCATGGCCTCCTGCATCTGCCTATGCATTCACTGCTGCTGCCCCATGTGGCTGTCGGCCCTCTGGGCAGCCTCTGTCGTGGGCCTCGTGTTGTCGTACTGGTCCATGATTACTGGCTGCCACGTCGGCGCTGGCGTAACTCCACTGGATGTCATACCAGGCACATCAGCACCCTGAGCCTAAATCCAGGATCCATCAGGAGCGTCTGCAAGTGTCCCCGCTGGGCTTACCTCTTGAATCATGAATATGGAAGCATGATGCACCTCTGCTGTAGGCGAGGTCAGCGCGGGCACGCGCAGGTTGAAAGAAGTGTCTGGTACAACCCGCCCCTTCAATGTGGAAGCATCGAACGCGCGCTCGTACCATTCCACCGGTGCCAACTTGAATTGTGGCCGATCACCCTGTTGAGTGTCAACAGAAAATTCGTTGACCCATACCTGCCCATCTCGGTCGTGCATGCATTGGACCGCGTTGTGCTTGATATCGGTAAGTTGGACAAGGGAACTCACCAGGATGCGGCCGCTGACGCCCGAATTCATGATGACATCGTTGGCGGGCCGCCAGAACGGGGTGTTATCGCGAATAGGACTTTTGAAGCTTACTCAGATCAAAACCTCGGAGTCCATCCGCAAGCCTGCCTGGATCCGCCCATATCCAGACAAAGACGGGCATCCATGAATCATGTGCCTGCCAAGGTTTTTCCTTAGAATTGTCTTGGCTTCGGCATGACAGACCGACGTCTACTATACTCTGGATGTTCGCCCATTCGGCCCCGTGAATGTGGCGGGGTGCTCCCGCTTCATTCAGGTCTGTCACTCGAGAGCACAATGATTCTGGACACTTGATGCCTGGGCTGCCGTGTCCATTGATAGGACGCACGAAGTAAGTCGGACGGGGTTCCCCGCATATGTGAGCTCCTTCGCCCGGAGTCGATTCTTCTGCATACCAGAGTTATCGACCATCTCACACTTTCGAAGCACAGCCAGTGCTTGGTATGCCCAATGCCGACCTCGGAGGCATTTCTATGGCTTCCAGGAGATGGTCATGGTAGGCGTCGCGGTTCTTCGGCGGCTAATTTTCCAATAAATCACCCATGTCCACCCAGCCGTCGAACACGTCGAACGAGGTAACGCATTCCGTAAACCGATGCGAGCTATCATCTGTGTAAAATGGTTTGTGCCGAGTGGCTGTAGCGAGCCACTCCGAGCATTGGCGCTGGTCTTTCTCCTTCGGTAGCGTCGCACTCACGCTCGCATGGTAAAGTGTCCTCGACAAGTATTCAGCCTGCAAAGGACAGGCTGTGTCCGCATATGGTTGCGGACACGCTGGCGTTCGATGGCCCTTTGTGTCGCGCACGTTGCATTGCGCACTGTTCGGCAATGTGCTACTCTGTAGCGGCTCGAACCGTCGCCAGCATTGGGCCGATATGCTGGGTTGACCATCATCTGTTGAAGGGTGCCCACGATCTCCCGGTTGCGCCTGCTTCTCTCATTTAATTAAGGGATAACAGTAGCAGGTTGCCCGCATGTTCAGATGCCGATTCAGCGGGTGCCCCCGCGGAAACCGAAGCAGCAGCTGGCGCTGCGGATGAGCTTGCGCTCCAAGGTGACCTCTTATGCTGTTCACGGATGTCGATGAACTGGCATCCAGTGGTCTCCGGAGCTGCTCCTGATGCCTTGGACGCAGTCTGGGGCGCCGTCTCGTCTGCATCTGGCTGCGGGGCGCATGCCCTGGAAACGCCGCCCAACGATGGCGCCCAGCCAGCTCCCCTATGGGTCCTGCCAGGCGCGGGGCCGCGCAGTGCTACGGGCTCCTTCGGCTGGGGCGCGCTGCCGCCCGGGGGCGCCGATGCCGCGGCAGCCGCGGCCGGCTCCCTGGAGCGCGGTCCGCGGGCAAGTTTCCCCGCAAATCTCTGCGGCTCATTGCTTCCAGGGTCGGCTTCTGCTGAGCCGGTTCTTTTCTTCGACTTGGGTGACTCTGGGGCGGGTGACCTTGACCTTGATGGACTTGATGATCGAGATAGATCACCTTCCTTCTTAGATAGCTTCTTCTTCTTCTTCTCGGATCGCTTCCGGGGCTTCGGAGGCTCGTCTGCTTTCTCAGCGGGCGCCCCCGCGCTCGCGGATGCAGCAGGCCCCCCCGCGCCCCTGGGCGGGGATCTGTCTGGCGCAGGCCCCCTGTTCGGCTTGTAGAGCGCCATGTACTTGATATTAGCCCTGCCTTTACAATCCAACTTATATCTTCCATCGATCAGCTTGCCACGTACCTTGCAGGTTATCCATCGCATCCCTCTGCAATTCTGCGCCGCGATCGCACCTGGTGCCAGGTCCATGTCCTCCGTTACTCTGGCAGAGATGTCCAAATCTGCATTAGTTGACTCTCCACTGCCTATTTGTC